ATAAACACAGGGGACAGGATGATCTAGGCATATAATCCCGCATCATTGAACTTTTCTGTTGTGATTTTAGAGCGTAACCAATGGTTTTATCCCTTTGTTTGGTATTAATGGCTCGGGTACGATGGAGTTCATTATCTCAGCTGCACTGGATTTCCCCCCCTTCTTTTTTAACTGGCATCAATGAGCTCCAATTGTGTATTATCTACACTCTTTGTTTTAATACTTCCAGCACATAAATCCAACATTATTATGGCAAACTTTTAGTCATATAAGCTGTGACGCTGGTTTATCGCCATGACAGAAGTCCGCAAACTGTGGCACTTAGGTCTAATATGTGACTGTTTTATAGCAGTGGTATTCAACCTTTTTTGTTCGCGTACCCCCAGATATAATTTCTCTTCAACTTTGTACCCCCAAAGTTGTTGGTGTATAATTCAAGTTATACATAATATATAATTTACAGCTTAAATAAATTAAATTACTGATTATTCAGTGTTTATCATAAAATAATATTTTTTTTAAATTTCACGTACCCCCTAAGATGTCTTCGCGTACCCCCAGATATAATTTCTCTTCAACTTTGTACCCCCAAAGTTGTTGGTGTATAATTCAAGTTATAAATAGTATATAATCTACATCTAAAATAAATTAAATAAATTACATTACTGATTATTCAGTGTTTACCATAAAATAATATATATATATATTTTTTAAATTTCATGTACCTCCTAAGATGTCTTCGCGTACCCCCGGGGGTACGCCCAGGTTGAATACCACTGAGGTAGGGTATATGAATGTTTCTGTATTGTCGTGTTTTCCCCGAGATTTAGAGGCACGTTTATGTTCCGTTGTTTATTTGTGTGTTTGGCTTTGGTATTTTGTGTTGGTTGAGTACGAGGCTCACCAGCTGCCCTATCTCTCAGGGAGAAATGGAGACCGAGTGAGTTTTTTTAGATGGAGAAAAAGAGTTTTCTTAATTTTCTTGTAAGAAGTTAAGATATCTTTTGAGGCAAATATTGTTGCGTCTTGTTATTATAGTTTTAAGCTGAGGGGCTGGCATGCGAATTCCGTAAGTGCATATTTATGTTCGATTGTTTTGAAATAAATAGATTTTGTATTTATATTTCCTTAAGAATATTATTGTTTCTTTATATCCAAAGTACATAAGAGGGGATCGCCAAAGGAAGTAATGACACTAAGAACTTGACCCTCCCCCTTTTGACTCTTCTGTTAGCTCGCTTTGTTAATTTTTAACGAAAAAGCAACACATGATAAAGGAAGGCTACACGGGAATTTGTAGGTAGAATTTTATTTTGTACGCATTGGTCTGATAGCTTATAAACATAAGCCTGCATTACATGAAACTTAAAAAGAAAGACGTCTTATTCTGCAAAAAAAATCTACGTACGTGAAATGGGCCTATTTATGTTCCTAAGTGAAGTGACCCATAAAGTTAGTTGAAGAGAATGAATCTATTAAACACAATAGACTTACAAGTGCCGCAGTTAAATTTCAACATTTCACCAAAGACTTTAAAATTAATTAAAATGCATCTGACTTACACATGTTAACACATGCATGTATAGAAGTTGATAATGGACTTCGTTCGCAGGAATTTTATTATTAGGTTTATGTAACAGACTAATGGGAAAGGCCGTTGACATTCGACGGGGAATGATTTCTTTCATTTTCATCCCCCTTACTTCCTTTCCTTTACCTGTTTCGTACCTTCATCTTCTTCCCCAAACCATTTGAGGTAGAACAATATTGAAAAATGTTAACCGTGTTACGTATGCTTTTTGGCACTTATAGTACAAGTACCTTGTTATCAGAAATGTTAAAATCCCATTCTGCCTGAGCCTTTCTACGATGTCTTCTGTTGTTTTGGCCGTACGTTTGTGGGAAGTTCCAAGTGTGCTTAATAAGTCAATGCTCACATACGAAATTCTTATGAATGAGACAGGTTCTCTCGAACTCTACGTGATGGGCGTAGGAAATTTGGCATCTCACGGTGCCAAGTGGAATGAATACAATAAATAGAAGCAAACAGCAGTGACGAGACTTTCTCGGAGTTACGGCCACAGTTCAGTGCCACGCATGTATTTAAATGATTTCTCAGACGGATAGAAGTATTTTTACTGTTGAATTCTCAGGACATTGTAAGGACATAAATCGTGGAATTGTTTATTATGTACAGAAATATGACGGCGTTTGAAATGAAAAATTAAATTTAGGAAATGCCTTAAGACTGTTAATTAATCACAAGTTTTACCTTATGAACTACAGTGCCTGTTTTGTAGTGGTGTAAAGCGTGGTGTTAAGGGGTTAATATGGTGGGACATGTAGCGTGAATGGTGATGTAAAATGCGTTCAGCATTTAAATCGGAAAAACCGTAAGGAGGAGCATGGTTTGAAGATGTAACAACCGCGGAGGAATCGTAAATGAGCATATAATCATTCATTCTATAGTCCTATTTTTAGACGTGCCCAGTACAAACTGAGTGTTCTTTGTTTGTTTTTTAGAGCCCAAAGGTTAAAGAAGGTTGTGGATTAGCCCATCAGGGACTCTTAGCCGCTCAAGTTCTACACCTGCAGTGGTAACATTTCCCCTTTATTCAGACGTAAAATAGTTCCTAAAACTTCTTAACGCACAACCTAATGACCAAGACCAAAAGTGTGACTATATTGAGGACACGTTTATGAGTTTTCACCTAAAAGGAAGGCCACGAGGCCTTGTCAAATCACCTACAAAATTACTACGTGCCATGTTGTTGCTATTAAAAGATTTGTGATCGGATTATTCACATTTTGCACATGTACAACCACACATAAACCAAATTCACTTGAGACATTTTACATGCTATTATGAGAGACCATGACGGCTTAGAGTACTAGTTGGCACAGAATTTGTTTGCTAACCTGTGATCGAAAATAAACGGGAGTTATCTTGGCGCGTTGTTAAGAACAGAATATCACACTCCGTAAGACCCACAACATTTTGTCTTATAAGCATTAAAATTTAATATATATCGTATGCGTATAAGAATTAAAAATATTTGGGTTGTGTTCCTTAATTTAAATAAATAGTCGTTATGGAGGTAATTGAAATAATCTGATACAATTTATTACTTTATGCACCTTATATTAATTTGTTTAGGGATTATCTTTAAAAGAAGTTCCCTTAAAATAAATATAGGTCTATATGAACAAGATGAAAACCAATACCACGAACGGAATAATATTAGTAATCAATCATCTTAGAATGCTTAATAATAATAAAATTTGACATTTTTTTTCATTTTTAAGCTCACATTATGAAAGAAAAGTTCAACAAATTGACCTATTTCGGAACCTCAGCTTCGTCTTACGTCAATGCATCATAGGGATATGAATTTCTTACGAGATGTAGGGCCGTAGTCTGATAGAGGCTTGCCGACGTTTCAGAGGTACTTTCTGCATCCCCTTCGCACTCGCAGCCTCACAACACAGATCCAAAGATGATTTTGTGTCACAGCTGTTTCATCTTAGGTGTATTGATTACACTTTCTTTACTGATTCATGACTGTACCTTTTAGTTTCGTCGCCATAACTCGATTTACTGAACCTCGTTTGTAAGATCGGGAAGCTCTGGGGGGATGTGGTATAACTTTCTAAGACGTATAACGTAAGAGAAAGGGAACATGTTAGTACCTAAAGTTGCCGGCAGCTGTCCCTAGGGCCACCTGTCAGAGACTTATGCCTACCGTCTCCATGTGAAACAGAAGAATGTTCTGAAATATTTTCTTGTCTCTTTGTTTTGAACAAGAGTGGAACAGTAGTTCATCAGTACTTTTCAACTATACGTAGGCACACTACTGGGGAAATTCAGAAAGGAAACCTCACTAAAATCTATACAGTAGCTCCATTTCTACGGATCCTACAGCTCCACGTTAGAGAAGATGCGATCTCTCGGAGAGGTGGCAAGATACAGAACGGAGTACCGTAAATTTAATGGATATTTTAGAGAGAATTTCACTACTTTGGCCATTATAAAATAAATATATTTTGTAAAAGTGTGATGAATCTCGCGGGCCGGAAAAATGTTCAAGGCGGGCCACATGCGGCCCGCGGGCCGCGGGTTGGCCACCCCTGGTTTAAACCCTTCCACAGTGCCAGCTCTTGGGGACAGTAGAATTTGAACCCTGCTACTAATGTGATAAGCGGATTATGTTAGGCTAACTCCGAGGAAAGGCGTACCTCATTAAACTTCAAGTTAATTTGCTATAGAAAGAAATCTTTGTTGTTAAATAAATTGTACCACAAACACTGTACTGTGTAAGAAAAATAATTGTGACGTAATCAGTGATTACACCATTGGTTCTTAACACAATATAGATTTATTTCAAACTGCTAACAGTAAAAATGACAATTTCATGGACTAATGCCTGACTGTACTGAAATCACATTGCTGACAATCTAGCGAGGGAAACTTTCTTCCACGCGGTAATTAATTCCCTCCAGTCTTGTGCCACTCAGTCGGCATCCGTGCAGAGAACTTCACGAACCACGAGACACCTTTCACTTGAAAATAAACTGTCGATGCGTTCTTTTGGCAAGAAATTGTACTTGGGATTTTCCGGTCATTTTCAGAATAATCTACGCTACTCGAGGCGTTTCTAGTAATTCGTTGCAAAATCGCGCTGTCTTTGAACTATCTGGGGATCTTCAAGGCCGCTGACCGGACACGCGATTTTACTCCGTAATCCGCAATATTATTTTCCCTTAATTTCGTTTCAAAAGACCTTTGGTTTTTCTTTAAAAAAAAGAGGGATTTATACCAAATGTCTTGCACAAATTATAAGGATGGGAAAACTAGAGTCATTCCATGTCAGACAGAACAGTGCCGTCAACCAATCCATTTCTGATTTTTGTTTTAAATTTGTTGTCTATGAAGTTCTCCAAAGCTTCAGTTCTCTATTGTGACCTGTAGATACTAATAAATAAACTTATATGGTTCTTAGGATGTAACAGCGGTTCGAGAATAGTGGACCTACGGATCGCCCTGGTGTAGATCTATCACTGAGCGAAGACCCCAATGTCGGACGCCACGATGAATGGGGAGTGGAACCTAACGGTTGTGGTGATGCTGCCTTATGGAACGTAGTCCATGGTTGTCGAAGAACCCCTCTGTTAATTTGTGTCATATTATGTTAGGTTAGGTTATGTTTGGTTTCGTAAGATGAGGGTGGATGGAGTAGGATCGATAAAGTAGAGGGCTTATTTCAAAAGTTTTACGATTGAGATAAATATGTTTTCAAGTGCTACGCGCATTTAGAAGTAAAAATTTACCAAAAAAAACGCACGTGGGATCTCTACGTATAGTGATAAGTATTATAATTTCCGGTGTTGTTATTTAACAAGTCTCAAACAAGATCAGACATCCCTTGCTAATTGCTTTTTCGAGTACCAGTGATATACCACAGGTGTGTCATGTGTTATCATATATTTTGTTCTAAGTTTTTAGTTTGAACCCGCCCCCATAAAAGGTATGAGTCTTTCTATGATTATAAAGGATTATATATATATATAATTATATGTATTTTTAATATATTTCAAAGTTTCCTCCTGTATGTACTGTGCACATTTATTTTAAGCCAATAAAATCTTAAAATTTTACCTTAAGATAATTATTATAAAACCTGTTGTAGAATAATATATATAAAATATCTTAACATCGTGGTAATAACAGTAATTGGTTTACATTCTGTTTTCTATGGCAAAGAAGTAGACAGTGTTTCAAGAGATGTGCTAAACAAAATATTATATATGGACTTTACACTGCTATCGATTTATCGACGAGGTATGCCTATTGCATTATTTTTTTTTTTCGAAGTCCGCCTCGCAATGTCCGATGGGCTAGACAATGCCAGAGACAGGTTATCTGCCCCGCCCACTGCCCTTTCAACTTCTACGTAATGGTAACTTCTTTTTCGAAAGGGAGCCAGACTTCAGAAGTTCAAGCTTTCGCAGTGGTAGTTATCAAGGAATACAGCACTGCCATCTATCAGCTACGGACGGAGTTAATGCCCACAACTGCTGCTCGAGGACGCAGTTCCACGTTCAGTTGTCATCGTATTGTAAAATATATACGTATATGTCGCAGTTCTGGACTCAACGGTAGCAGCTAGAGAATTTTAAAATTTGGTGGCACACACTTCGAACATATTCGCCATATCTCTGTTCTTAACTTCCAGTATATTTCCCTAAATACATTAGTCTTACGTGTATCATTTACCAACTTCGCTAGAGATGCTACGTAGGGAAAAACGCTGATTTATTTCCTGGAAAAAATTTCAATTTTCAGAGGAAATGAACTGACTGGAGAACATTGGGAATAATCACAATTATATGGACTTTTAAATTGTTCAAGTTGGGGAGACCTTGTGCTGTTTAGCTTAATATTACCAGTCCGGTCAGTCATATAAATTTCCTGTCCGATATTTACCCTTTAAGGTAGGAGTTAATCTGTGTTTCTGTATGTTTCCGAGGCCTCAATTGGAATACGCGCCTAAGAATTTTAACTAAATAATTAAAATGAACAGAGTATTTCTCGAGAAACTTATCAAATAATTCCCCGTTTTCGTGTAGCAACGAAGAGCCATTACCGTGGTTGAAAATCTTCTTTCGTATTAGGGAGGTCCTGGGTTCAAACCTCGGCCTAAAGACCGGCAATTCTGACTCGGATTTTCGTAGTTTCTCTCATTACCTCCAAGCAAATACTGGGTTAGTAACTTAAATTAGAACACGACCGCTTCCTTCCACATCCTTTAAAATTCATTATTCAATATCATAATCTAATTCGATAAATACATAAATACAACCAAATCATAGGCTTTATTGAGGTCTGTAAATAGATGGTTTACTATGTACTATGTACTATGTGCGGGTACCCACTTAACTCTGTCAAACTTCACTGTGGAGCATTGCAGAAAGACACCAGTGTCATTCATGGCACCTAAGCTAATTGTTTTTGGAATAATTCTTGCTTCGAATTAACTTGCTCTAATGTAAATCGAACATTTCGATGAGAGCATCATTTTAATATATTTTAAATATTTAAATGTTAATTGTAATAATATTTTAATATTTTAACATTTAATAGTAATATTTTTATTGTGATTAGACTGATAAAATTGAGCAAGTATATATTCAACACAATATGACGCAACATTATCATCTTCGAATTAACTTTAAAAACAATGAGCCTAATGTATAACATTACTGGATTAAGCTTCGGTATTGGATGTTTTTTAATTAATGTGAGAAACCTCAAACAGCTTACTGTTTTCCTTCTTTAATTATCTCCGATGGAGGTCGTGATATCACCACCTCTCAGACAATAACAGACATTGCAGTGTACGTACAAGGCTGGGAAAAAATATATATACCTAATTCCTTAAGCAGTGTGGATGGTATTTTACTTAATTAAATTCATAAGTTGGTATAGTTGCGTCATATTGTGAAGATATATATTTAATTAATTATTCTTGTCCGTCTATTCACAATTTATAATTTAGAATTAAGATTAAGATAATTAAAATATCATGTGATGTTCCTTATCTAAACATTCGATTTACAGTTAGAACATCTTTTTATTACTTTTTTTGACATGTTTCGGTTCTTAAATGAACCATCTTCAGGTGTATAAAAATTAAAATTATATAAACTTAAAACTTAATCGATTAAAAATTAAAATTATATAAACTTAAAACTTAATCGATTAAGTTTTAAGTTTATATAATTTTAATTTTTATACACCTGAAGAAGGTTCATTTAAGAACCGAAACATGTCAAAAAAAAAGTAAGAAAAAGATGTTCTAACTATAAATCGAATGTTTCGATAAGAAACATCACATGATATTTTAATTATCTTAATCTTAATTTTAAATTTTAAATTGTGAATAGACGGACAAGAATAATTAATTAATTAAATTCTTTCAAGAAAGTTGGCCCTAAATATAATTATCGACTGTGTATAAACCAAATTCCTGCCAAATACACAGTTCTATACGTCATTCTAGTAAAAATAATCGTTTGGAAATTCGATCATTTGCAGGATTGCGTTCACTTTCCAGCGCACGTTTGGCGTACCTTCTTCATTGTGACTATTTTTAACCTAACCACGACTTACTTTCTTTAGCAGAAAAATTCATAAGGATAATGAAAGGTAAGTGACATCATAGAATGAGGACAGAATCGCACATGCCAACATAAAACTGCACGACCCATACGGATTGAACTCAATTACTTCGCAGTGCTTATATGACCGGAATGCAATTAATGGTTTTAGTTCGATCGCTTTGGGGTTTCGAGCAACGGAGGGAGGGCGAAGCCCATTATAAGGATCCAGGGACAGACGGTGTTGGGGCAACGGGATCCGTGAATAGAAGTTTTGGGAACTTGGGCAAAGTCTGACGTCCTTGACTACAGTCACAAGTAAAGCAGGCACTTCTGTGAAATTTCGCTTGTTTTTTAAGGTTTCTTCAGTAGTCTATGGTTTTCACTGGCTTGGTATCCACAGTGAAGAGAAGAAGTTTTCATCTTTCTCTCAGTCTTCAAGAAAGAGGACAGGAGGAAAATGCTTAAAATTTATGAGCTAAAGACACAATAGAGAGAATACATTTCTCTTCCTTCTGTACAGACTCTATAACTTATAAGCACACGAGCTGTATAAAACTTTTCCAACATTTCTCTTATACTACTTTTTGGTATCTTACTACAAACTTGTCCTCGAGGAGCGGTTTTTTTTATGCAGAAGTATTCATTAAACGTTTATAGTTTTATCTGAAACGTGTCTTGGATGTTTTCCTTCATATATTCTAAACTCTCCTACATAGGAACCTAAAATGAACAGCTTAGAATCTTTAAAATATCACCAGGCTTACGGACATAGTCATGTATAAACAACAAAACCTAACCTAACCAGAGTGACGCGCTCTTGAAAAGCGCGGCGGTTGCCAAGGACAATGCCTTACGAGGGTTAGGTGATACTGGGATACTGAGAACAAGCCGTTCTTCAAGTGCCACAGGTTATAGCCTCCTCCGAAACGTCAGAAGTAATTTTCACCGCCGTGAAAAATCCCACACTTCATAGGACCATAAATACGAGTATCTTTCGAATATTATATAGAATTTTAATTATTTCTCGACAATAAAAATCGATATAAGTATTCTGAGGTTCTCATTGCAGTAAATATTTATATCTTGATATTCTGCGTAGTATCGTCATATGGACTTGTAGGTAAATACCAAAGTTCCAGAGAAACACCACGCGTGATGGTGAAAGTGTTCCTCCGACCCGTAAGAGCCCCAGGCGTCGCTCTAATTCCGATGCACTTCGGGGGACCCGGGGCTGGCTGGACGATGCGGTAATCATATAAGCCTGTGCTCTTGCCAAAATAATATGGTCTACTACCTTGTTTCTGTTTTCACTATACTTTTCCAGGGAGCAAAACCTAACTAGTTTTTGAATCCGTTTATGATTCTGGGGGGGGGGGGGGGGCTGTGATTGGGAACTGAACTAAACCTAAACCTGCTAAAAAAATAATTTTGGCCTCTTAGTCGTGAAGCATATCCCTTGAGCAATAGGATAAAATTAAATGGAAATAAGGTTACGAGTAGTCAGTGTACAAGCGTTTGGAAGAAGGCAGTCGTATCACTGAATTCTCTTGTAGAGATCAGGGAAACCTCGAGAAACTTCAGTAAAAAACCGAGACTCGTGCCAGTGCCTCTGTAATCAAAGTCTGTAGTGTCTCAGCTAACACAAACTATTGTGGCCATCCAGGAAATTTCAGTGGCGGGGATTGTACATGTTATCATCGATAATTTTAAATGGCTATGTCATTTGTCACTTCCGTCTCCATCTGTATGTCATTCTTTATTTTCATGAATTTATAACTTGTGTTGGGCAAGGCCGTGGTCTAGGCAACACGGAGTTTTCCTCCGTGGCATCCCAACAATTACTCCATTCACACACAGAAGAAGGCAATGGCAAACCACTTCTGGATCATCTGCCAAGAACGTATATGAACAGGTCCCAGTCCGAGAAAAGGAGGGAAGGATCCGGTTCATATGG